GTGCTAGGTTCATTGGTTTCATGGTTGAATGAATTGTTTTGATAAAACCCTATGCGCATGAATCTGAAATCCGAATTGCTTAGATCCCTAATCTAAAATTGAAATCCTGATGTTCTTGGCTTGATACTTCATGATCTTATGCACCTTTTGATTGCTTGTAATGTGTACTTGCTTGGTTGCATGATTCGGAATTTTAATATTTTTTGAAAACCCTAGTTTGGTCATAATCCTTTTAGGTTTAGGATTTGCACTCATAATCCTATTTGGTTTAGGACTTGCACCAAAATAAATTCGACCACCTTCTAATCTGTCTTGCTTGTTTATTTCTTAAACTTATGGTATCTGAGACTATGTGGTTGTTTGCTAAATTTATTTTAGAACCAAACTTGAAAGGAATTGTTAAGTTGTGCAATTGGAACCCTAAAACCGATCTTGTAAGGACCCGATTTCTTGAAATTTTGCAATGCTAGGTTTTTCCTTGTATGCATGATCTCTGGTAGTATTGTGAATATGAAATCTGATGTTAGATTGTGAATAAAACTTTAGGGTTTCCATCTTGAATGACCATATAAAACCGAATTGTTAAGGTTGAACAATTAAAAACCCTAGACATGATTCCTTGAATCCGAATTCTTATGCTAGCAATGCTTGGTTTTTATTTATTTTTTCCATGCTTGCTTGATCATGTGGTTATGTTCTTTGTATAAGAAATCTAATGCTAGGACGAAATTGGACATTTTGGGTTCTAACCAATTTTTTTAAACCGGATCATATGATAAGATAGATTGTTTGGATGCTTATGCATAACAATGTTCTGTCAACCTTGCTTGTTTGAGTGATCATATGACCATATAGAACCCAATGTACTAGGTTGCTTGCATCATTCTCTATGGACTTTGATTGCTAGAACCTGATATGGTCGATTTTTTTTTAAATGGTCTTAAAATCATTTGGTTGATTGATATTGCAATTATGGTGAATTGCTTGACCATGCTGGTTAAAATCTCGACCACTTGAAAGTTCTCACACCCTGGGTGTTAAGATATGGTCGAGATTATTAAGGAACCATGCACTTAAATTGCTTGTTCAGGACTTGCAAATTTATGAGAACTAAA